AAGAATGTGTAAAGGCGGCAGATACGAGAGGTTATGCGACGTGAAGCGAGCGATGCGAGTGACAACGATTGTTTTAGTGCGGTTACGCTGATATGCCTTACATATTGTGACGTAATGAAACGAGCTGCGCGATTTTGAACGGCTTCAAAATCATCGGTGAGATAAGCTTGTGAAGGATGCTAGATGGATGACGCATACTCGAGTATTGGTCGCACGTATGTCAGATATGCGAGTTTCTTTATGTCAGGAGATGCAGATCGCAAGTTACATCGTAAGTAGCCTAATGTGCGGGAAGCTTCAGAACAAATGGTTTCGATGTGTTTCAACCATGATAGTGATGATGTCAGATGAACTCCTAGATACTTGTAAGTACGCGTGTGATCAATGGGAACCAAATTGATGAAGTACGTTTCATGTGAGGAGCTGTGTTTACGTAAAAAGGACATGACCTTGCATTTAGCGAGGTTTAGGGGCATATGCCAGTTTTCGCACCATGAAGTTATGGTGTAAAAGTCGTGTTGTAGGGTGATTGCATCGTTAAAGGAGTGAAGGGGGTTATAAAGAACGCAGTCATCTGCAAATAGGCGCAGCTGTGATTTCATGTTACTAGGGAGGTCATTGACATATATAAGAAATAATAGAGGTGATAAGCAGGCGCCCTGGGGAACACCGGAAGTGACGCTGGTAGGAGCTGATTGAAAATTGTTAGCAATGGTAAACTGAACGCGTCCTGTTAAGAAATGCTCGAGCCATTTTATAAGGTTTGTGGGGATACCAAGCGCAGATAATTTGATGAGCAGGTGTTTGTGGGGTACGCGATCGAAGGCCTTGGAGAAATCTAAGAACATTGAATTTATTTGTACGTGATCATACATTCGCAGTAGTATGTCATTAGTAAATTCAGCCAGTTGTGTTTCGCAGGAAAGATACTTTCGGAAACCATGTTGGAAATGCTAGAAAAAAACTGATTGATTTTGGGTAGGTCATAAGAGTTGATGCTATAACATGCTCAAGGATTTTAGGTGGGACACTAGTTAAGCTAATCGGGTGGTAGTTAGCAGGGCTTTTGCGCCGGCCTGCTTTAAAAATGAGGACTTTTTAGCTTTCTTCCAATCATCTGGCAAGGTTAATGTGTTTAAAGATTGGTTAAATATAAGGTACAAAAACTTGCTAGAGTGTGCTATAGTGTTTTTTAATAATTTAGAATTGATGTCGTGACAGCCAGCCGAGGATGATATTTTAAGAGAGTGGATTAGGTTGCATGCGCTATCCAGGTTTGCTTGTATTTCAGGCATGGTCTGGGAAGAGAAGTCTGGTATAGGTTCGACAGGGCAGGTATTGGGTATGTGAAATATGGACGTGAAAAAGGTGTTTAGAGCAGCAAACTAGTAAATACTGGTACTGGTCAATGATGTAAAGCAATAAAAATAATCAAATAAATAACCAATACAGTATAGCCTTCAGAAAATGAAATTAATTCAAAAGAGCCAAAACGCAAAGACAAAAAGAAACCAAGGCGAAAAGGGAAGAATAAGAAGACAAATCGAGAATAATACAATGGGAGGGAACAATAATGCCGAATATACACAACATTGCGGAAGGCTTGCGGAAAGATGGAAAATGGAAGAATTTATATACATTCTGCAAAACTGCGGTAAGACAGTGCAAAGCTAAGATAAACGCAATGGCTGTGGAGAATAAGAAACGTCAGGATAAAGAAAGTTAGCATTACAGATTATTTGTATTGTGTAAACGGCAGAGTGTTGGAAGAAGCTGGCAGGTACATGAAACGGTCGATCCTATCGAGTTAACCTACGCTGAATTTGAACAAAACTTGTGCAAAGTTCATAGGATAAGCTGCCCAGCAAGAGGTATAAGCTCCCTGAAAGGAACTGTGATTACAATATAAATTACACCAGCTCTGTAAGTTCACGCTCTCAGGCGCAGACGACTTCAGCACCCCGCATTCTCCGGAAGCGAGTAGGAGTCGGACTCCTTCGAGGTTCCGCGAGATCTCCGCGCTGCGCGCACACTTCGCGTCTAGACTTCCTGCCAGCGCCTCGACTGGTTCGGCGTCGGCCGGAACCCTTTCCCTAGGCCGACCCTATTTCACTTTCCGTGGCTTGACCGCCACCGCACTACGAAGCTTCCTTGTGTGTAGGAGAACTACGAAGCTCTGAGAAGCGAAGGAGGGGTACCTTTCACTTTCCGTTATCCCCCTCAGATTCCGGAACTTGCAATGTCCAGATAACTCCTCCTGTGGAGAAGCGAGATAGAATTGATCGTACTCGGGCGCGTTGGAGCTTGGTTCAAGGGGAAATAGCTACGCACCGAGTGGTGCGACCGAGGGCATTTCCTCTAGCGCTTCGCCGCCCTGGCTTGCGTGGTGCTTACGGTTGATGGAGTAGATTTTCGTATTAAAGTTTGTGTTAAACGAGTGTGCTTATTCATGAGTGACGTTTAGGCGAAGAGCTGGCAAATATTCGACACCTCCAATGTGAAATTTACATAGTGCGGTTTTCGATTTGAGTTGCCAGGCACTTGTACTATTCAAAATATTTAAACACCACTACACTTCACAAAACGCCTTCAAAACCCACACAAAAAAGCAGCCCTGCTAAATATCTCAAAATAGAAAGAAGGATACAAAAATTAGTTTAAGTTGAGAAATTGCACTTTTGTGCTCTTTTTCAAATGTTTGCCAGCGTGATAATGCATGAGCCAGAGCATGACATTTTATATCAGGCCAATGAAATCCATTCAGTAGAGCGGCGAAACTGTGCCAGACCAAATGGTCTGAACTAAGATGACGGAAGGGGAGTGAGGCAGTTAGAAAATTAAGAAGAAATCTGCAGAAATAAAGAAAGTGAGCACTAATCTTGAGTATCCTAAGATAAAGCCTTTGTAGAGAGCATCATGCAATCAGTTTTTATTTCTCTTACCAATCCTGACAGCATGCTGAGAGCAATAAACTATAACGATAAAAAAATACGTAAGAACTACTAGCTCGTCTTGTGAGTGGCTGTTTTTGTAGTTGGGAGCATTCTTGGCAAAGACAATGATGTTTTTGAACCCCTTTCATACCAAACAGCTGTCCACCATTCATAACAGTGAAATAGCTGCATTAAAATAGCCACACAAAGCTTCAGCCGGTACAATCGTTACACGTAGCATGCAATAACCGTTAAGCAACTGGTATGAGTAATCCTTATCTGTTCGTAGCCTCAGTCGTACTGGACCAGCCGCAGCACCTGTAGCAGCTGTTGTCGGAATCGGCTGCCGTATCAGCCAGCGCTACTGCGAAGTTTTCGCTAAGCATATCTGCACGCACGCACAATCTCTGGAGATCTTGAATTTCGTATTTTGCCAATATCGCCTCACATGTTTCTTATTTTCACTTTTGTTTCTTTCAGTTTTCTCCCTGCAAAGGCTGTCAGAAATGCCCAGCGGAAATGGTGTCTCATTGTTCCAGAAGGTTCACGATCAGTAGATATCAATCTCTTGAAATTGCGTGAAAGACGCGAACACACGAGGTTATTTCAAAGCTTTTGTGACGACCACTAATAAGGCTGGAATATTTGACAGCATATAAATAATTAGCGACGTGCTTCACAGCTTGTAAGTTGATTGACGGCCGATGCTCTGTTTGCCGCTATCAGTGCCAGTTTCTTGCTATTATCTGACTTTCCCTTTACATGGCTACAAGTTCGGTCCAATAAACACTTTAAGCTGAACATCCAATCTGCTCCCTTTGTCCGCTTCACGACACTGCGACAATATACTCTCTTTCACTAACTTGCAAGCATGCACCATGGTCCTTCAATACTTTTTTCTGGTCATGAAACTCCCGCGAAAGTTTCATATAGGGACACAAGTGGCCACCAGAGGCGCCACCGTAAACAGGAGGGCATCGATCGGCCGCGCTTGGCAGGGCTGTAGCGCGTTCGCGGAAGCGTTTCCCATCAAATACACTTCTTCAGATATTTTCCTTCTCCGTGTTATCGCTAACAAATCATAGCAGCTATTAGTATTGTCAAAGTGGTCCATGATGCGCGTTGTCAAATTGCCTAAGTCTTTGACTGCTGGCAATGTTTTAACTGAGTTCGTCTGTCAAGTGACGCGCATTCGTAGCGTTCCTAAATTTCTCGATTCCTGCATAGCCGCTTTTGGGGCTTAAACCGAACACTGTGACTGGTTCTAGATGACTGAAAGGTTAACATATTTTGCGCTAGAGATTGCGGAGCAGCCGTGCTCTGGCTGCACGTAACGTTCATTTCGGAATAACTATCACTTTATTCCATATGGCATCACGAAGCAGCCAATAGAAGTTCGCGTGCCAATAAACAAATCTGTGTATCAGGGTGACTTGACATTAATAGCCTTGAAGTACCTCTTGAGGGATATCGTTAGTGAAACATAGCTGAAAAATTAAAAGCTCAGAATGAGACACCACAAGACAGAGAGGGATGCTCAAGTTGTGCTCTTTTCTTTTTTTTCTTTGATGTCATAATTAGCGCCCCTGATTTTAAAGATTAAAAAATGAGATGAAACTGTTGTGAGCTGCTAGATATAGGCACTACGTGCTATTTCGAAGCGAGAGCTTTTGTTTTTACGCATGCAGATTTGATAACGCAGCCGAGTTTTGATATACGCGGCTTTTTTTTTATTCATTCCCATGTACTCTCCCAATGACCACGACTTCTAAGTCCGCGTTCTAATTAGGCCACCCTGTTCCTTCTACGCGCACATAGAAATCAACCAGGATCTTCCTTCAACCCAGTTATTCAGTTTAAAACGAATCAGTTGTACATGAAACTGCATTGCTCTTTTTGAATATTTCTAGAGATTTTCTTTATGCACTTAGATATCTCTTTCAATCCAACTTGAGCTTTTTATGTGCGAGATATTTCTGCCTAACGAAAGCAAATCTGTGTGCCACTTACCTAGCAGGGGGTAACATTTTGAATTTGGAAACTACGCTACGCGGCAATCGTCGAGAATTCGAAACTGCCATGAGCACAGGCACATAGTTTATTCAAATCTGCGTTTCAAAACTGTGGATGAAAGTTGGGAGACGGAGTGGATGACACAACAAAAATCATTGAAAAAATTTATGTCCCTGGTTTCCTCCCTCCTTTGGCCGGGCAGGATAAACGACGTCCGCCAGCACGAAACAGTTTGTTCTGCTCACGCGTAAAAAAATGCAGACGGCACTTAATAAAAAGTGCACAACTTCTGCCGTAGTGCTCACGAAATGTGAGCCACAGCCAACACTGGCCGAAGAAGTGCGGTCGTCCAGCAGGATGTTCTCAACAATGTTCATGTAAACACTGGCACAGGCTATTTTGTCCACCGTGCACATTTCCACATGTTCTTCCACAATTTGCAAGAGCCGCAGTAATTTCTCCGATGGCACTTGCAAAAATCCTCTTGTCTTGATTTGAGTCAATGCAGTTGGCTCTCGGGAGTTGCTTCTGAGTGTTTGGAGGCAGTCCTTGCAGCTTATTTTAGCAAACTTTTTTGCTACATACCCACCAAGGTAATCCAAAATACAGTCCCTCGTTGACTCGGGATGAATCATGTCTTGCATGCATTCAGCAGGCTCCAGCAGTATATCGTCAAAAAGAACTGCCAAGGTATCAATCTGAAACATATTTTGCGTTATCACAATGGCCAGAGTGAGAAATTTGTAAAGTAAAATATAAAAATGCAGAATAAAACTTCTAGGCGCTTAAGCAAAAAAAAAAAAAAAAAAAAAAAAATTTTTTTTTTTTTTTTTTTTTTTTTGCTTAAGCAAGTGATCTTATCTTCTTTCTAATATATATATGTGTGTCGTAGTAGTAATAAATCAGTTGAAAGTCTGCGCTCGTCCTCGTCTCTTATGTTAGTTGTCTGAAGTTTTACGCGCCTAGAAGTTTTATATGGATTACCAACTAGCCCAATCCCACACTTTACTTAAGCAGAATAAAAGTCTGTTCTATATCATACGACCAGACGTGCATGTCATTAGCATCAAAAAGCTAGACGACATTCAGCACGTTTACGATGCACAAACACCCTACAAGCAGCATTGGTGGGTGCTATTCAAATGTTTACCTGATTAACAGTAGGCTCTTTATGTTGAAAGAGATCCTGCATTTTCAAGAGGAGACGCGGACCATCCCCTTCAACCGAGGCTCTCTGTGGAGGACGGATCAAGTTGTTCACCGAGAGCACCGGTAAATGAACAAAAATTGCTGAACAGTTGGCTGTCCCCCTGCTCCAGCGACATGTCTTGCGATGCCAAAAAATCTCTGAAAAATATAAAAGTGTGAAGAAAACGTCTTCAACGAGCAAAAACGTTTAAATGTACCTCGAGGTGGTCTTGTCCAAAGTTGCCAACTAAAACATAGCGAAAGCCACAATTCAGCAGCTTTTCAACAAGCGTCACTGTGCTGTGCAAAGTCATTCTCAAAGCATTGCATGTTGGCTTGCTGAGAAAGAAGAGTTGCTTTTGCTTTGGTAAACTCTGGTTGTAAGTGTGCCACCTGTCAAGCCATTCGATGTTCTCCTTCAGCGTCTGAAAAACAATCTGATTTAAGTGGAACTTCAAAGGATGTGACAGTAGGTTTGAAATATTAGGGCTTACAGAAATGTGTTCCGCTTCATTGTACTGCACATCTTGTGGCCTTTTAGAATTGAAGCAGTCGAATAGACTATTCATTCGCCTCGCAAAATCCGAAGTTGCTTTGGAGCCACGAAGTTTCACACATTCTTCTCTACTGCGATAGAAGTCCATTGCTGAAGCAGTGCTTTCACTGAAGAGCTGAAATGTTTTAGAGAAGTTATATGGCAGAGTGTTGTATTCTGATGAAGCAACACCACTTTTTGTTACACATACTGATTAATGACTCATGCTAGAGCAGCTGTTATGTCTTACCTGGACAGCAAGTCTCACACTCAGTTTTTGGAAAGCGTTGGGGCTGATGTGAGCTTTCGTAAGCTTTGGCACAGCCCGAAGTCCAGCTTGCTGCTCCTCGTAGTCCAGCAGAGCTTCAAAGTGGGAATGCTGTACTTCTTTGTCACCAGGCAACTGTTACATTTATAAAAAGGCTGTGAGACAAAGTTAGCCAGAGCACTGTGATGACTTATCTTAAACTGTTTTACGCACCAGGAACTTTCCGGCCTTCAAAGGTTATTCCTGATGCACTTGAAGATGTGCGGCGGGTCAATTATAGCCTGAATGACTTTGGAGGAGTCACATGGATGCTCAAACGATGTTGATACTCTTGTGACATCACCACTGACACCTAAAAGAAAGGCATTTCTATTATTAAAATCACTTACTAAATACCTTGAAAATAAATAATGACTGCAAATATTTACCCAAGGAGTTCAGTGCTGATCGGTTCGAAGTTGAGTTATCGCAAGTGACTGCCTCCACAATGACGCCGGCATTCGATAGGAGTACAATGCACTGCAGGATCAGTTTGGCAACAGTGGATCCTGGTGCAGCCCCGGACGTGCAAAACGCTCCGACAGTCTGCGACCAGCCACCAAGGAATGGTCGGAAAAGGAACACCAACACGTGGTCCCCATCTTTCACTTGGTCAGTCGGCTTCGTGTGCTCTGCTAAGTCCACCTTTCCAAGCAGTGCCATATCCGATTCCCTGACGTGAAGGCTCTTTCTCACGCTCATCTCATCAAACATGAGGACACCTAAAGAAAAAAAAATATTTCAGCTCTTTACCTAGAGTCCAGAAAAATCAAATGCAAAAGAAAAAAAAAGATAAAAACCTCGCCGTTCTCTCTTTGGAATCTTTTCCACTTTGTCTTTGAGGATGTCAAATAAATTTCATCAAATCCGAAGCCGGCCTTCAGATTTTTCAGATAGGAGTAGAGTGTGCGAGGGTGTGGTAGAGGCAGAAAATTATTCTCGTGAAGAAATGTATAAACTGCTGTGGATTTGATTTTCAGCAGTAAACAATCGTAAAGCCATTCCTTTTATACCTGCAATAAATAAAATGCAATTTTTGTGGTCACGATTCTGCTACAGCTCAAGCAAACAGCACCATCAAAGTAAACAAAATATTGCGTTTGTCCCACGGCTTCACTTAGTAGTTTCTGTCAATATCCAGAAAGCAAACGAATGCGCACCGAACATCGCACTTCACATAAAATTGCACACACACACAAACTTTACAAACCGGATCTTACCGTGCTGCTTTCGCAGACTTCATATTTGCTTTCATGATGCACTGGTCTATAATGAGCTTCTCGCGGTCTGAAAGCTTGTGAATATCTGCATACACTCCATTCTTTCTATTCGCGTGCGCCTCCGCTTTTGTGAGTTTCCGCTGACATGACTGAAGCTGTTGCTTCACGCTGCGAAGTTGGGCCTTCACTCTCTGTAGCTCCGACGCTGAACAAACGGTGACCTCTGTTTGACACTCTGCATCAGCGTAGCCATTGCGATTCTCAGTTCTCACAACATCTGCAAAGAGTGAGAAAGGGCAATATTTATAAGGGAAGGAACCAATTTGGTTAGCGTAGTGAGCGAATTTTGTTAGCGTGGTGAGCGGGTAGGATACTTGCAAACTTTGTGCCAGACTTACCTTCGATTTCTTTGTCGGCTGCACTGGAGACGTCTGCATTCGCGACTGTCGCATCACAATCCGGAGAAAGCTCTCGCGGCCTTTTAGAGGTGGGCCCTTCGTTGCACGCGAACGCTGCTTTGGTTTCGAGAGGTAGGAAGGCAAACCTTCAAAAATCCTTGGTACGGCGTCTTCCACCAGTCTCGGTCGTTCTCGGGGCAGCGAAACGATGTCTCCGTTCACAGTGCACACGTCCGCACGTACAATGTCACTGGCGTCGAAATGTTTTTCACACACGCGAGCGTACTTTGATTCGAACGAAAATCCGGCAGTCTCCTGTCGCGGGATCGCACGTTTCCACCTGACGCGTTGTTCTGCGTTGGCTGGTAAACAGAACAGGGAAACTTTTTCGACGGTGCCCTTGTATCCAGAATGACAGCCCGGCACGCAGCAGGTGTTGGGCATCGCTGTCAACACGATGCGACCGCGAAAAGCTAAAAAGGGGGGCGATCAGCACGACCACCACAACTCCGCGCCAACAGTCCGCTAATGGCGGCCAACAGAGCAGCCGGCCGGGCCGGCTTCCTCGTCCCCCGTCTAGCTACGCCAGCGCCGCGGCGCGGAAAGTGCGGGCGGTATATGAAGCTCTCCCATTGAGTGACGCGGGAGTTTCATGACCAGAAAAATATTGAAGGACCATGCATGCACGTATGACGCACATAATTTTTTAGATTTACGATCGGAGAATAGATGTAGTCACTGCAGTAACTAGTCAGGGAGTTGTTTACCTCTGATTGTAACTCCACACAATGCCAATCATCAGGTCTTATAGAAAAATGACATAGGTTCTCAATTATCAATCTGTGTGTGAATATGTATAACAAGTTAAGTGAGGCCTATAGAGCCTGGTTGGCTACCACTGTACTCAATACTTTCAATTTTCAAATTACACACTAATTAGCTTTAGAAATCTGTCTGCGTACAGGAGATGCGTTAGTCATTGCGGGATCTGCCTACTGTGCTGCAACACTCAGCGCCGCTGGCAAGGACCTAAATGGAAACATTGTACAAAAGCAACACAGTGCATTGCGGCTTATTTTGCTCGGCAGGAAGTTTAGAGGCATGCACGAGTAGCTACCATTGCTTCTATTCTGAGGCACAAGTGCTTAGCTGGATTGAAAAGGTCGTGGTGAGCTGCTGCCACGAACCTTCGAACCAACGGCAGGCTAAAATCAAAGTCGTTGTGCTGTCCATAATGTTGTTTTTCTCTCCCTCTCTACTTAAGTGGACACCAATAAAGAGACTTAGCAAGGGCGACATGTTTTTTGTACCCGGCTCAGTGGTTCATTGACTTATTTTCAAAGCGTTTTGACAGTGCTCTCACTTAGCGTCGATAGAGTCCTTGAATGAGCTATCTCTCGAGGTTATAAAATGTGGTGCTTTCCATTCGTACCAGCTGGACGCTCGATGATACGATTTCCAAGCATGCTGCTAGGTCGCAAAAATTGCTTTAACAGTGATTTTTTCTGCCATACGAGTGCTCTAAAGACCTCTTGAATAACTATTGTTAACGCTAGTGTAAATAAGAGAGGGAGAGAAAGGGAAAGAATTTGGAGAATGCAGGGAAATTAACTATGTTCAGTTTTCTAGCTCACGCACGAGAAAAGGAATAAGCATGTAGACGAGCGAGTGTAAACGCTTTCCTCTGGCCTCCAGACTGCTGTCATCCACTATGAGCGTGGGAAGCTGACTTTAGTCTCGTCCTCCTCCGTGACTGATTTCGCTCTGCTAAACTGGTTTCTCAGATGATATGTAATGATAAAAAGCTTTACCTTTATTACCTTTAATTCCTTCAGCTTTCATCAAAGTTTTCTTTGCGAAAACATGCACTACATTACTTGAAATTATCGAGAGTTTGACGAGCGAGAGGTGCTGCACCGAAGAAGATAGAGCGCTCGATATTTAACTTCCTCGCTTTAAATGCGTTAGAATGAAAAGAACGCTCTAACGTGCTGCAGCTACTGAGCGATTGGCCACTTTGCGTGGAAGTACTGCTTGAACACCGTCCGCATTGCTCGTCCATCCCCAAGATTCTCGATGAAGGTGAGCTTTTTCGAACGCCTGTAACCAGTGACACAGTCCCGAGCGCACGAGCGATTTCGTTGCTCAATTATTTATTTATTTATTTATTTATTTATTTATTTATTTTTAAAATGCTGCAGCCCCGTTATGGGGCTATCGCAGGAGTGGGTACAAAGCAAGAAATAATAAAAAGGTACAAAACAAAGCAGCTGAATACACAAGTAAATTGGCAGATCATAAAAATACAAAAATTTTAAAAACAGAGTTATACAAGCAATGAAAGGTTTACAGCACACCGTCTTTTAATGCCTTCAAAAATTCATCTTTCTGCAAAGACCGAATGTGACCTGGTATGAGGTTCCACATTTCAATACATCGAGGAAAAAAGTTGTATTTGAAGAAATCAGAATTCATGATTTTCTGCCCTCTCCGCTCTGATGCTCTCTCTTTTGAAATTTGCATTCCCATTTCCAAATCTCCTAATGCAACGCAGCCATCAAGATGCTGTTCTGCTTAGCAGCGTACCTTTGGGCTTTTTGTTACTTTCCTTTATCGATAAAAATGAACACTTTAGATTGGATCAATATAACAATTGATTCTGAGCCCATGACATTCTCACACCAGTACGTCAGCAATGTACCTTGAATCACTCGCGTTACTTCTTTCGTTTTCCATAAGGGGCCTAACCCGTCCACATGCTTCACGACTGAATATACTAGAGCAATTTAGAAGACAAATTTCGGCTTTGAGTCATCTTTGAGTGTCATGAATATCCTCCCATTGCATGTCGCGGGATCAAATCCAGGCTACGGCGGCTGCTTTTCCAATGGAGGCGGAAAGGTTGTAGGCCCATATGCTACATTTCGGTGCACGTTAAAAAACCCTGGTGGTCGGAATTTCTGGAGCCCTCCACTACGGCGTCTGTCATAATCATATGCTGGTTTCGGGACGTTAAACCCCATTATCAATCAATATCCACCCAATGCTCTCTTTTTCAGTAGTATTCATCGCAGCATTTACGATACAATTTGAGTGAGAGCAGGAGCATCATGCATGATTCTCACATTGGTCGTACAAAGAATGAAACATTTAAAACATTTACTAGCCGTACTGAAGGCGTGTTTGCAATAATGCAATGAGTTATTGTGGTTTGGTAAATACGGAATGGTAGATGGAAATTAAGGTATTCGGGGAATTTGAGGTGTTGTTTGAAAAAGAGGCAACAAGAATAGTTATAATGCGAGCGCACAAAACAAAAGAACAAACAAGGAAATAAAAACTTGCTCTATTACAGCGGGAAAAGTCAGCTCAATATTCTTCTTTAAAGAGAAAGCTGAAATATGGGCACTTCAATAAAGGGCACATCATTTGAAGAACTCTTCAGCAAATGTAATTCTTTTAGCAAGATACATAGATGGAATGGTCTGTAAGGCATTTTTTTAAATTACTTATGACACTAAAGGAATGGTTGAAGTAAACAATCGGCAGATATATAATGTGGTTGGTAAAAACAAAATTAAAAAATGCAAAACTGCAGCCAAAATATCTTTTAGCAAACCGGATATTTCTGAGCCTGACCGACTTTGAAATGTCTCGTTTCTCGAAGAAGTTTTTAAACATCTTTACTTGAAAGTAAATTTGGGCTTTGGGTTCCTTTTTGCCTTTAAACTTTGAGGCATTCATGATATGTGTATGTGTGAGCGCTCCTTCATTCGAGCAGCGCCTCTTCTACGCGCTCTAAAAAATAAAAACTAAATGCTAGTCTTTATTGCATGTATTCAAGGGACTGACGGTGCGGGGAGTAGCTGCAGCGGACTGTGTTGTTACTTCAAGCTGCTCAATCTTATGGCAGATGGACCCAACATATGAACGCGCCGCCTAATGCACGCGTTGCTTAGAAGGGCCTGGAAACTCTAATAAATATGCAAACGATGCTTCTGCCATAGCAGCTGAGTGTTGTGAATACACAATAACACGAAGAAAAAATGCAGGGAAAGAAAGTTCCTGCAACATGAAAGATGTGGTGGCCTCCAGACGCTGCGTAAAGAGAAGTTGTTACCAGCATGTGGTCCGGTCTGCGCCTCTGCTTAGCGCGAGGCCGTGTCCTCCAAGCTCGTGCGAAAATACGCAACCCTGGGAGGGGGTACTTAAGCTCGTGGCACGAATTGGCGCCTCCTGAGTTATGGCTTATATATACCATTGCGGATAAGCCTGCGATTTCATTTGGCGACGATATAAACATTGAGTAAGCACCGTAAAGTTGCACGCCATTGTGCGAAAAATATGGCTGTTCTCACGATTTAGTATGACTGGATTTTAATGGTGCCGACCCTCATCGGCGGCACTCACGAATTGCCGCCATCAATGACCGGTCAATGCGAGAACTTGCGGACTGAGTAACCAAGATAATTACCAGCACGGTGATATAACGTGGCTGCCTCCCGTCATGGGGCTTCGATAAACGTAGCAAAATCTGGTCAAGTTGTGATAGCGCGGCTGCAATGGACCTTTCTGAGTTAATGTAAACAATATCAAAAGATAAGACGCGCCTGTGGTTTGGTACAAGTTACTAACATTGGCACTCACTCGTGCAGTACACACTTAAGCAGAATTGTACCCTGAACATTATCTGAACATAAATGCTCACGCTTAGAAGAATGGTTGACACTCCAGAAGGTATAATACCCCATGCCGAAGCATACGAAAGGTCACACCTGTTACGCATCACAACAGGTTTGAGGAAGCACTGAACAGTTGAAAATGGACCACTTTCAACTGGTCTACAAAGTGAAAAATGCGACTAAGTCCATTGAAACTTTCAAGTCACAGCCCGTGCACCTAATTGTGGAAAAGCTAGATTTGTTCGCTTCACTGGTAGTTTGTCTTGCACTAGGTTTATTCCGCGTCTCCCTTTGTGGGACTTTGCTAGCCAGAGTACATTTCTAGATCCCCTCATTTTATGCGGTCGAAAATTTTAAATTCTTAAAGCCAGATAGTGTAAGCTGCAAAATTTTGTAGCAACATTGCACCTGAGCTACAATGAGGTACCTGTAATGAGGTACCAACAAGAGGTATCTGTAGCAGTTTATTCGTAAGACTTGTAAGCCTTCAACCTTGTTCGCAATGATTTAAAACTGGAAATAGCTGTTACGGCAGATACTCGATTGATGCTTGGCTCATTTTTTCTCAGAGAGGATGAAGCTTGTGGGGCACAGTGTCACCGGATGAATGCTGGATTAATGTTACCAGATGAAATACTTGTCCATGCCGTCAACACAGTAAATCAAATTGAGAAGTATTTATCACAATTGAAAGAAAGTGTCGAAATCAAGTGTTCTATTCTTGCAGAGAACGCTGTAACATCAGCACCTACAGCCGGTTTCTCTTCTTTCAAAATAAATGTTGCTAAGTCCATGTCACTAAGTCGCTGTCACTCTCGACGTTAAAGACAAGTGTTACTGTCACGTAAACAAGTGGACGATGGAGTAGAATTTTACAGTTTGTAAACAGGTAGTTCAGGTAATGGTTGTCGCGTGGTCAATTTTCAAAAGTGTTCAGCGGAGCAACCTGATTTACGGGAAAACACACTTAGGTGAGATATACTTCG